CACACACACACACACACACACACACACACACACACATGCCTGTATGATTTTTCAAACAGCTGGGTTAAGGACTCAAACTGTGGTCGGCTATGTGGGGGTCTAGCACCTTCTCCACCACACCACCTGCTGGCCACCTGTCCTCAGCCTTTCAGTCTCCAGTGAGCATAGTTTCCCATGGTCATTTTTTTGTCTCTACCCCTTCGGGGTGGTTATGTTATCCATGTTTTAATATACAAAGGTTCACTTGTTAGTGCTTCTATTCTATGTTGGGCTCCCCACCCCCCAGCCCAGTGATTTTCAGTTTATTTGGGGGTGTGTGAAGAAAATGTAGAACCTGATTATTGTTCTGAAGTCAGAAAGACTATACAAAGAGATGGACTCAGACAGGTGTCTCTCTGTCTCTGCTACTCTTTTTCCCCTCACCCCTTTTTCAAAATTTTATTCATTTATTTCTTCCAAGAGAGAGAGACAGGGGAGAAGTATTTCCACCAGAGTCTTCACACCATAACACACCCGTAGTCTTAGCCAACCCAGATCATGGGTACATAACTTTATTTTTTAAATGTATTTATTTATTTATTTTTTAGGTTGACCAGAGAGGGACAGCATGAGAGAAGGGGAGAGAGAGAGAGAGAGAGAGAGAGTGAGAAAGTAAGAAAGCAAGCCAACAGTTCCGGGACTTGAACTGCGGTCGGCCATGTAGGAGTCCAGTACTCTTAGCCACCATGCCATCTGCTGGCCCCGTGGGCACGTACTCATGACCAGCGTGTTCAGGAGGTCCTGGGACACAAACCCGGGACCATTCCTTTGTGGGTCCAGTCACATTACCAGTACACCACTGTCTGGCTCCATTGTAGTCCCCCTTGTTTGCTACTCCATTTCCCATGCACTCCTTGTAAGCAAGCCATCTCTTTCGTTCCTGGTGGATCCTCCCTGTATTTCTTTTGTACAAATGAGCAGATCCCTGTGCATTTTCATATATTCCCCACGTGAAGGGGAGCTGACTGTACTCGTGCGTGCTTTGCTTTTTTGGTTTAACAATATGGCCTGGAAATCATTCCAGAGCAGTTTATAGAACCTGTCCTCGTTCTTTTTTAGACCATTGTGAGGATGTTACCCAGTCACTCTCCTATACTTGGGCGTTTAAGTTGTCTCCGGTACTTTGCAATTACAAAGAGCGCTGCCATGAATAACCTTGCGTGCGGGCATTTCCACATCGCTGCAGGAAGAACCCACGCTCTTAACATGAGGTTGGACCACGGGGCATGTCTAAAACCTTGATTTGGTGGCTAACTTGTAAAAAATTGAAGCTATCACATGAAGATCTCGGTTTGCATACCCATCTATATATGCTCCTGAGTTATAAAAACTCCTGTGGAAAGATTCACTCGCGAAGTCGGTAGATTTGGTAGTCCCGGGCCTGCTCCCTCTGTGGTGGTTATCACCAAAGCTGAGTGACGATGGCCCCTTTTAGACAGGGTGGAGTGCCCACCGTGACATGCTCTCTAAGTCCCTTGTCTCTGTATTACATAGCCGGCACCCAGACACCTGAGCCAGTACCCCTTTAATGATATCATGGGCCCAACGGCCTAGTAGTGAAGGGAGCCAGATCCCACACGGCCACCTGCATGGTTTGCGTCCTAGACCTGACAACTTGGAAAATACATTAGAAGTGAGTGCATGCATGCCTAAAATCCAAACAAGATGGAGAAACGCAAGAGGAGGCCTTGCAGCGTGACCACAGTCTGTTGGGGAGGGTGCTTTCTCCCTCTCCCCTTCTCTCTGCCTTTGGCGAGTGCACACACCCTCTGACCAGTAACAGTTAATAAAAGAAATGATATCACTGTGTACAGGGCTTGGCACAAGGCTGCAGACGGTGAATGGTGGTATTAATAATATTCATTTGCTCATATAACCTGAACTCTGCTAGGTGCTGTTTTCAGTGATTTCTTTATATTTTATTCACCTAAACCTCATATTAACTTTATAGGGTAGATACTATTATTATTACATTTTTTAAAAGTTTCTCTTTTTCTTTCATGAGTCAGAGAGAAAAGGGGGTGGGGAGGGGCGCGCGAGAAAGAGAAACAGGACCCAACAGAGTTCCCACGCCGCCATCCAGCCCTGGCCTCAGCCAGCCCCCATCACGGGCACGCCCAGTGTGTTCAGGGAGGTCTCTGCACTGAATCCTGAACCTTCCCACGTGAATCAGCCGCACTGAGTATTGTTACCCCCGTGCCCCATCCAGCCTCCATTATTATTTTATTTTACACACAGGGATGCTGAGATCCAGAGAGGTGAAGTGGCTTACCCAAGGAAAGCCCAGCTTGGAGATGGCAGAGTTGGGATAGAACTTGGGCAGCTTCTAGAACCCATATACTTAACTATTCAGTGCTGCAGGGCAGTCACAGTCAACACCTCTGCTCTCTCTGCACACCCCTCTCTGGCCCTGCTCAGGCCTCACTGCTCAGCCCCCTCTGTCCCTTTCTCTCCAGGTGAGCCAGGCTCTATGACTGTGACCTGGACCACATGGGTTCCAGCTCCCTCTGAAGTGCAGTTCGGGCTGCAGCTGTCTGGGCCCCTGCGTTTTCGAGCTCAGGGCACCTCCAGCGTCTTTGTGGATGGGGGTGTTCTCCGGCGGAAGCTCTACATGCACCGAGTCACACTGCGGGGGCTGCTGCCCGGGGCCCAGTATGGTAAGCAGGGTCGCAGGCTGAGGCATTACGCATGGGGGGTGTGGAGGGAGCAGGAAGAGGACTGGGATGTGGACTAGGAGCTCCCACTGGCAGGTGGCTCGGACTGAGCTGGTAACTCGCCTGCTTACCTGCAAGCCTAGCGGATGAGCCCCTGTGGTAAAAACAGAAAGCACTGGGGCAGGTGGGCAGAGGGCATGGGTCAGCCCCCTCCAGTGCCCCTCTGTTTGCTCCTCTGCCAACGGTAGATGGGTGAGAGTTGGAGGAGTGGTCCTGGGGTGCCCATGGCTGACTGTAACCTTTGCCTCTCTCAGTTTACCGTTGTGGCAGTGCCCAGGGCTGGAGTCGTCGCTTCCGTTTCAGGGCCCTAAAGAATGGGGCCCGTTGGAGCCCCCGTCTGGCTGTGTTTGGGGACCTGGGGGCTGACAACCCGAAGGCCCTGCCGCGGCTACGCAGGGACGTCCAGCAGGGCATGTACGACGCTATTCTCCACGTGGGTGAGGCATGGGTGAGGGCGTGTCTGGAGGTATGGGGGGCTGACTGGGAGGTGGCACCAGGACTGCAGCGGGGATGGAGGCTGGGGCCAGAAAGGACGGGGGATGAGATGCATAGACAGGGCGCCTGTGGTTAACCAGACTGCCCCGGCTAAGATCTCAGCTGCAGCACTTCCTGTCATGGGCACGGGTTTTCACCTCTGTATCCTGACTGTTAAAGGAAGCGAATGCTAGTTCCCAAGTCACCTGCCTGACAGAGTGAGGACACGCGTTAACACTGCCCGGCAGGTGGAAAGTGTGACTTACATGTTAGTTACGATTATCGCTGTTGCCTTCATGATTATTATTATTATTATTATTATTATTGAGGGGGATGGGAGATGGGGGTTGGGTTCTGTTGGCTCAAAGCACAGCCTCTGGAATCGGGCACCCTGGATTTTATTCTGGAGCTTCATTAGCCAGTTCTGTGACCTTGGGCCTCAGTTTCCCATCTGAAATCAGGATCTAGTATTACCCACCTCAGAGGGTGTTTGGGAGACTGAGGTGGTTCTGTATAAGAAGCATTTTGAACTATGCCTGGTACAACATCAGTATCAGACTCTGTTTTTTTTTTTTTTTTTTTTGAGAAGTTTTTGCTATAGGGCGTGTGCACGCACCAGAAAGACAGAGAGAAACAGAGAGACAGGAAGCGAGAAATCACCCCCCCCAGGGGGATGGCCATGCTGCAATCCCTTCTCCTCCATTCTCTTCTCGGGATCTTGGGCACGCACGCACACGCACTCGGCGTGAGTTTAAGACACTGGGTCTGGGACTCGAACCACTGTCGGTCACGTGGGAGTTCAACGACATAGCCATTATGCTAACTGCTGGTCCCAGTATCAGACTCTGTTGGCCTTAAGGTCATTGTGTTGTCTGGAGGAGGAAAGATGGCAGGCAGCAATGGTGGCTAGTGTAATCAGAACACAGGAGACAACATTGTCCCAGAGGCTCCCAGGGACCAGAGATTCCAAGGGAGCATGTGAGGGGTGTGAGGTAGGGATTGGGTAACAAGAATGGTTGGAGGCCTGGAGTTGCACAGCCCACACCTGGCAAGAGAAGAGGTGGGTCCAGATCATCACTCTCCCTTGCCCCCGTCCCCCAGGAGACTTTGCTTACAACATGGATCAGAACAACGCCCGTGTTGGGGACCGATTCATGAGGCTCATTGAACCTGTGGCTGCCAGCCTGCCGTATATGACGTGCCCTGGGAATCATGAAGAACGCTAGTGAGGACCAAGGGCTGCAGGGGTGGGTACGGGCTGGATTGATAAAAATAACGTGTCCTTGGTGTCTCGCCTTAGTCCCTCATGCTGCAGCATCTCATCTGTGGTAGTGAGAGGAGAGGAAACGGGGGTGGGCTGGGAGCCAGACCGTGGCCTGACAGTGCAATGGTGGGGCAGGGCTAGAACATCAAGTCCCTTGCAATCCCCATCCTTCAACTTCTTTTTTTCCAGCAACTTCTCTAACTACAAGGCTCGCTTCAGCATGCCAGGGGACAATGAAGGCCTGTGGTACAGGTAATCTAGGGGTGCTGGTGCACTGCCTTCTTGCCCCTGAAAAATGGGAGAGGTAGAAGAGACCCTGTCTCTGACGCCTACCCTTTGGCCCCTCCAGCTGGAATCTGGGTCCAGCCCACATCATCTCCTTCTCCACTGAAGTATATTTCTTTCTCCATTATGGCCGCCACCTGGTAGAGAGACAGTTTCGCTGGCTGGAGAGCGACCTGCAGGTAACCTGGGTGGAGGCCCTCTCAATCCCTTGGCCCACCTGGCCTGCCCCTCCACCCATCCCCACCCCTCACTCTGGGCCCTTCTCTCTAGAAAGCCAACAAGAACCGGGCTGCCCGGCCGTGGATCATCACCATGGGGCATCGGCCCATGTACTGTTCCAACTTGGATCTGGATGACTGTACACAGCATGAAAGCAAGGTCAGGACCCCTCCCAAGGAGGCCCTGAGAGCTGGGAGGCGGGTCTCCCCTCACCTCACCCCCTCACCTCCTCACTCATTGGCCAGGTCCGCAGAGGCCTCCCTGGCAAGCTGTATGGGCTGGAAGATCTCTTCTACAAATATGGTGAGTGAGCCTGGGATCCCCACCCCGCCCCATATTCCATCTCAGGCTTTGCCTGATAGCCACTTGCTCTGCCTCAGGTGTGGACCTGCAGCTGTGGGCTCACGAGCACTCCTACGAGCGACTGTGGCCAATTTATAACTACCAGGTGAGGGGGCACCGAGGGCCGGCTGGGAGCTAGGATCAGCGTGGTCAGACCCCAGGGTCTGGCCTGGTGTGACACCTCCTTCCCACTTTGCTCCCATCTCCAGGTATTTAATGGCAGCCAGAAGAGTCCCTATACCAACCCTCGAGGCCCTGTCCACATCATCACTGGATCTGCTGTGAGCAGGGCGGGGAGGGGGTGCCTGGGGCGTCTCTCCTCTTGCTATTTATTTATTTTAAAAAGTTTCCTTTATGAGAGAGAGGGGAAGGGAGAGAGAAAGAGATAGGCATTTGTGATTTTTGTTGTTGTTTAATGATGGCATGTGCTTGACCGAGAGAGAGGGAAAAACAGTGCGAAAACACACTCGAGGGGGATTGCCACAGAGCAGTCTCCTCTCCTCTGCTCTCCTTTGGGGATTTTGTGTGTACACACACACGTGCATCTGATGTATTTTTCAAGCTGCCGGGTCTGGGGCTCGATCTCCACTGTCAGCTAGGTAGGGTCCAGCTGCCTTAACCACCAAGCCACCAGCTAGCTCCTAGGCATGTCCTTTGACAGAGCCTCACTGTGTCACATCTTCCTGCCCAGCCTCCTGGTTAGCTAGGATTACAGGTGTGAGCTACTGCACCCAGCATGTTCAGGTTGGTTCAGGAACTGAATATGGACCTCCCATGTAACCCCCAGCTCCCCGAGCAGTGGCATTACCAGAGTGTCACTGCTCTTGCTATTTATTGAGGGCACTCACTCTGTGCCAGCCTGGTCCCATGTGCTTCACCCAGTTGACATCACTGCTCCCTCATCCGTAATGATAGGCCCTCCTTGTGGCAGGCCCATTGTACAGATGCAGGAGCAGAGGCCTAGCCAGGAATAACACTAGCTCAGAATCGCAGCTGAATCAGTGGCTGAGGCTTCCTCCACTGAAAAAAATCTCTATTGTTCTCATTTAAATGAATAAATATTTGATTTTTTAATCAATATTTGGGGGAAGACACTTTTAGACCATACAAATATCCTATTTCTCCTCAAATTTTAATTTTATTATAGGACCATCAGTGGACTGCGGGGTTCTAATGAGAATTTTCTATATCCCTTACTTTTCATTGGTCTATTCATTGGCATCCTCCTGTAAGAAAGTCATCCCTTCTGTTGTATTCATTTTTTAAAAGAATTATTTATTTATTCATTCATTTATTTTAATTTGACCAGAGAGAGACGAGAGAGAGAGAAAGTGAGAAAGGAAGCCACCAAGTCTGGGACTCAAACCATGGTCAGCCATGTGGAAACGTCCAGCGCCTTCCCCACCATGCCATCTGCTGGCCCCCCTTCTGTATTCATTTAATTGGTCATTGATATCAGTGTGGACTTGTGGATAATGTATTTTATTTGTAGGTTAGAATCCAATATTTTTTAAAAATGATTACTTATTTTTTATTTTATTTACTCGTTCTTTTTAAATTTGATCAGAGAGACACACACACACACATACCCTTCCCAAGGGGTGTGGTTATGCCCCAATGCCTTCTCCTCCATTTCCCCATCCTGTTGGGATTTGGGGCATAAATGCTCGTGTGCCCGGTGTGTTTTTCAAGCTGCTGGAGTGGCATTTGAACCATGGTCAGCCATGTGGGATCCAGCTCCCTTAACCACCAGGCTGTGGGGCCAGCCCCATTAAAAATATGATATAATTTCTTTATTATTATTTAATTTGATCAGAGAGAGATAGAAAGGGAAACTGAGAAAGCAGGCTGCCAGGTCTGTGTCTCGAACTGCGGTTGGCCATGTTGGAATTTAGTACCCCCAAATCCACATTACCTGCTGGCCCCTAGCCACCCCCCTGCTTTTTAAAATTATTTAATTTTATTTTATGCATTGTCATTATTTTTTATTTTACCTTTTAAATGTTGACCAAAGAGAGACAGAAAGAGGGAAAGTGAGAAAGCAAGCTGCCAGGTCCAGGACTCGAACCATAGGAGTCCAGCTACCTTAACCACTATATTACCTGCTGGCCCTCAGTCAGCTGCCTTAACCACTATATTACCTGCTGGCCCTCAGCCCCTTTGTTTTGTTTTGTCTTGTTTTACCTTTGTTTTGTTTTTAAATTTATTTATTTTAATTTGACCAGAGAGAGAGAAAAAAAAAAAGTGAGGAAGCAAGCTGCCAGGTCTGGGACTCTAATCACAGTCAGCCATGTGAGAGAGTCCAGCACCCTTAACCACCACTCCACCTCTCTTCTAATCTTTTTATTTTCTTTTTCTTTTTCTTCTTTCTTTATTTCTTATATATACATATATGTTTAATTTGTTATAGACTGTATGTGCTCAGCAGAGAGAGGTGGGGGCTGGCAGGGTTGTGGTGAGAAAACACCCACTGTGGGGGATGACTACACTGCAGTATCTTCCCTGGCACTCTCCTTGCAGGATTTTGGGCATGCATGCACATGTGTCCGGCATGTCTTTCAAGCCACCATATTCACAACTCAAACCACACAACCGGCCATGTGGGTTCCGGTTGCCTTACCCTCCATGCCATCTGGCTGGTGCTCTACTCTTTATTTAAAGTTTATTTCTTTATATATTCAATGAGAGCTAGTGAGACACATGCAGAGATAGAGACAGAGAGACAGGCATCTCTAACAGAGTCTTCAGGCTACGACCAACCCCACTTGTGCCAGATCGTGGGCACAGGTACACAGCATGCTCAAGGAGGTCCCAAGATTTAAACCTAGGACCTTTCCCATGTGGGTCCGGCTATGTCACTACTGTGCCACCACCTGGCCCAAGGACTTCTAAGCCAATCCTTAGAAATGATTCAGGGTCAGCCAGGCAGTGTGGTGATTAAGGTGGTTGGATCCCACATGGCCGACTCTGCAGTTTGAGTCCCAGACCTAGTGGCTTGAAGAATATGCTGGCACATGTGCGCATACCCAGAATCCTGAGAGGAGAACAGGAGAGAAGAGATTGCAGCATGGTCACCCCTGGGTGTGATCTGTCTCTCTCTCTTTTTTTCTCTCTCTCTTTCACTCTGGAGAGCATACATACCGTATAGCAAGACAAAAAAAAAAAAAAAAAAAAAAAAAAAAAAAAAAAACAGAGAGAGAAAAGAAAAAAAAAATTTTTAAAAAGTGATTCAGATTGGAAACCAGCAGTTAGTGTAATGGCTATGTCGTTGGACTCCCACGTAGTCGACCATGGTTCGCATCCCGGACCCGGTGGCTTAAAACTCACGCCGGGCGTGTGTGTGTGTGCATGCCCAAGATCCCGAGAGGAGAATGGAGGAGAAGGGATTGCAGCGTGACCATCCCCCCGAAAAAATTTTTAAAAAGTGATTCAGATTGGAAACCAGCAGTTAGTGTAATGGCTATGTCGTTGGACTCCCACGTAGTCGACCATGGTTCGCATCCCGGACCCGGTGGCTTAAAACTCACGCCGGGCGTGTGTGTGTGTGCATGCCCAAGATCCCGAGAGGAGAATGGAGGAGAAGGGATTGCAGCGTGACCATCCCCCCGGGGGGTGATTTCTCGCTTTCTGTCTCTAATGTCTCTCTCTGTCTGTCTGGTGAGCGTACGCACCCTATAGCGAAAATCTCTTCAAAAAAACCCAAAAAAACCCACAATTAAGCTTAAAAGTGATTCAGATTAAAGTAAGAACCCCTCATGTTAAAAATTTAAACAGGGGACCTAGCAGGTGGCTTGGTGGTTAAGGGTGCTAGACTCCCACATGGATGACCATGGTTTGAGTCCCCCACCCAGCAGCTTGCTTTCTCACTTTCCCTTTCTCTCTCTCCCTGTTTCTCTCTGGTAAAATTAAAGAATAATAATAATAAATATGGACTGGCAGGTGACTGGTGATTAAGGCATTGAACTCTTACATGGCCGACCATGGTTCAAGTCCAGGACCTGGCGGCTTGCTTTTTCACTTTCCCTCTTTCTCTCTCTGGCCAAATTAAATAATAGAAATAATAAATAAAATAATTTAAAAATAATACATTGAAAAATTTAAACCATACAGAGGGCAGGAGGTGAAGAGCAGCCACCTGCACATTTTCTCAGTGACACTCTGGGTTGTTATGTCTCGTGGGTGACATTTAAAATGCTCTCTGCGTATATAAACGGGTAATTGTCTAGACAGAAATGTGCTACTGCCATACCAACTTTGAAAAAGTGACCTGTGCTGTGCTTCACCCCTCACGGGCTCAGCCTTGCTGCGTGTCACAGTTACCTGTGGGGTTTCTAAAACTCCCATGCCTGGGCCCCGCCCCAGACAGAACACCAGCAGCTTCTGGCGTTGGACACCCCTGCAAGCCACCACCTGGGCCAGGACATCAAATGCCGTCAGCAGCAGATGGCTCCTCAGCCTCCTGCCCGTCAGTCCCTGCCCACGGGAGTCACTGCTCTGACCTTTACCACCGTACATTGGTTTTCGCTTTGATTTTAAACTTTGAAAGGATTCCCGACTTATCGAAAAATCGCAAAAAATAACAGACTTTCCATGTCCTGTTCATTTAAACGTGAGCATTTAACCACATTTGTTTCCATTTCTCTCTCACTCCCTTTTATTCTTATCTTCTAATCCAATCAAGAAGAAGCTGCAGACATAATGCCTCTTTAACTCTGTATTTCCTAAAACAGACATTCTCTTATAGCACCACAGTGTAATTAGGAAATTCAAGGCGTTAGCACCGATAACATACTATTATCTCATCTACAAACTGTATTTGAATATAGCCCATTCGTATCCTTTGGTTTTTTTAATTAAATTTTTTTGAGACGTTTTTGCTATAGGGCACATGCACTCGCCAGAAAGACTAAGAGAGACAGAGAGAGACAGAGAGACAGAAAGCGAGAAATCACCCCCCACCCCAGTGGGGATGGCTACACCACAATCCCTTCTCCTCCATTCCCCTCTCGGGATCTTGGGCACGTGTGTGCCCGGCGTGAGTTTAAGCCACTGGGTCTGGGACTCGAACCGTGGTCAACTACATGGGAGTCCAGCGACATAGCAATTACGACAGCTGCTGGTCCCAGTATCCTTTATTATTTTTTTAAGTTATTTCTTTCTCTGAGTGAGAGATACAGAGAGAAAAACAGAGGGATAGAGAGACAGCAGCCCCAACAGGGTCTCTTTTTCTTTTTTCTTTTTTTGGAAGAGGTGTTTTTTTTTTTTTGTTTTGTTTTTTTTGCTATAGGGTGCATGCGCTCGCCAGAAAGAGACAGAAAGCGAGAGAAATCATCCCCCAGGGGAATGCCCACACCGCAATCCCCTCTCCTCCATTCTCCTCTCGGGATCTTGGGCACACACGCACATGCATCCAGTGTGAGTTTAAGCCACCGGGTCCAGGACGCGAACCGCAGTTGACCACATGGGAGTCCAGCGACATAGCCATTACGCTAACTGCTGGTCCCAACAGGATCTCGATGCCATGATCTACCCCTAGCCTCAGCCGGCCCTGGATCATGGTACACGCATGCTCGGTGAACTCAAGAAGGTCTCCTAATGTGAAGTGGAACTACCCATGTGGATTAGCCTCACAGAACATTGCATTTTACTGCAGAGCCACCATCCAGACACTCGGCTGTTGGTGTCTTTTTAATCAAAGGGTTTTGTTTCTTGGTCCAGGATCTAGTGTAAGACCACTTGTTGTGTCTAGGTATCTTGCCTATTTAGCCTCCTTGAATCAGAAACATTCCTCCACCCGTTTTTCTTTGTGTGTGTGTGTGTGTGTGTGTGTGTGTGTGTGTGTGTGTGTGTTGGGGGGAGGGGGCAGCTATCTTTGCTATAGGGCATGCTCACTAGCCAGAGAGATAAAAACAGATAGAGAAAGTGAGAAATCATCCTCGGGAGGGGATGGTCACAATGCAATCCCTTCTCCTCCATATTCCTCTTGGGATTTTGGGCATGCGCCCACACACGTCTGGTGTGAGTTTCATGCCATCAAGTCCAGGATTGGCCATGTGGGAATCCAGTACCTTAACCACTATGCTACCTGCGTCCCAATGCTTATTTTTCATGACTTGTCAGTTGTGAAGAATACAGTGAAGTTGTTTTGCAGGATATCCCTCAGTCTGGGTATGTTTGATGCTTGCTCATGAGGAGAGGGAAGTTATGCATCTTTGGTAAGTGACACTATTTTCAGTTCAGTCTACAAGAAGGCCTGTGATGTGTCATTAGCATCTCTGAGCCTCAGCTGCCCCAGCTGAAAGTGTGGTACCGATGGGTCTCATGACTGACCATGTGCACTTTCTTTTTTTTTTTTGGAGAGGTTTTTTTGCTATAGGGCGCGTGTGCTCGCCAGACAGACAAAGAGAGACAGAGAGACAGAAAGCGAGAAATCACCCCCCAGGAGGGATGGTCACGCTGCAATCCCTTCTCCTCCATTCTCTTCTCGGGATCTTGGGCACGCACGCACACGCGCCCGGCGTGAGTTTTAAGCCACCGGGTCCGGGACATGAACCGCGGTTGACTACGTGGGAGTCCAGCGACATAGCCATTACGCTAACTGCTGGTTCCCACCATGTGCACTTTCACCTCTCAGTTAAGGCGGAGTCTGCCTCGGCCTCTCTACCATAAAGTCACTCTTTTTTCTTTTGGGATTAACAAGTGTCTCCTGGAGAGATTCTTTGAGATTGTGCAAATGTCCTGCTATTCCTCCAACTTTCTCCATCAGTTTAACAAATATTCTTTAGAATTATTTATTTAATTTTATTTAGCATTATCATTATCAGTATTTTTAAATTTGCTGCAGAGAGGGCTAGCAGGTGGGGTGGTAGTTAAGGATGCTGGACTCCCACACGGCCGACCGCGGTTTGAGTTCTGGACCTGGTGGCTTGCTTGTTTTCTCTCTTTCTCTCTCGCTCTCTGGTCAAATTTAAATGCATAAATAAAAGTTAAATAAAAACAATTCTTTTAAAAAAATTGCTACAGGGTATGCATTCTCACCAGAGAGCGACAGAGAGAGAGAAAGTGAGAAAGCAAGCCACCAGGTCCAGGACTTGAACCATGGTCAAAACCGTATGGGAGTCCAGCACCTTAATCATCATGCTACCTGCTGGCCCACCCCCATTCGTTTTACCATTCGTCAGTGATCCTTGCTTCTATCATTTATTACAGTTCTTGGTGCAAAATGGGGAATTCACGTGTGTGTGTGCTAATGGGCATGTGCTTACATAAGAGATAGAGACAGAGAGACAGAGATGGAGATAGAGAGAGTACCCCTCCAATGAGGCCTAGTCACCTCAATCCTTTTTCCTCCAATTATTTATCCTGTTGGGATCCTGGGAACATGCGTGGATTCCTGGGTGTGTTTTTTCAAGCCACTGGAACACTGGATGGCCATGTGGGATCCTGCTTCATCTGTACATGCTCACCCGCTGTGCTCTAAGGGCTGGCCTAACATGGCAGCTTTTTGGGCTTCCTCATCCTCTCTGCTCCTATTCTCCCCCAGGCACCGGCGTTTTAAAAGCCTTTCTTAGCAGGTCTACCATGCAGCCAGGGTTGAGACCCAGTGATTTCTTCCGTTCTTCGAATTGCCTTTCCCCCTTCCCAGTGCATCTTGGCCAATTTCTGTATCAACCTGCTTGGTGACAGCTACTCTTGAATTGATTTAACTGACTCCCCCGCGGGGCATTTGGGTGGCTTCCAGCTCAGGGCTTTTACAGAAAATGCTATCGCCAACAGTCTTGTACAGCCCTGCACTTTTCTAGAAGTCAAAGGCCTGGGGCAAGGGAAGCCTGGCTGGGTCAAAACGCTCAATTGTGAGCATCCTTGTGGCCAAGTCTTAACTGACTCTTTTCCTTGGGGGTGGCTGGATCCTGGCCTGGCAGGTCATTTCAGCTTCCCTGCCTGAGTGCCCGTCTGACCGGCTCTCTTTTGTAGGGCTGTGAGGAGCGGCTGACCCCCTTTGCCCCCTTCCCAAGGCCCTGGAGTGCCCTGCGGGTGAAAGAGTACGGCTACACGCGGCTACACATCCTCAACGGGACCCATGTCCATATCCAGCAGGTGTCGGATGACCAGGTCAGTGAGGGGCACGCCTGAGTCACCAAGTGGGCAGCCAAGCCCAGCGTGTTCTGGTGCCAGTGGTTGGTTAAAAACTTAGACGCTAGAGCTGGAAATCTTGGGTTCATATCCAGCCTCTGTTCCTCACCAGGTAGATGACCTCCTACAACTTACCTAACATCTTTGAGCCTCAGTTTTTCTATCCGTGAAATGGGGATAATTGCTTCTACCTCACAGGATAATATGGGGGCTGAATGACTTATTTATGTTTGAGTTTATTTTATGAAAGATGAAGGGCCGGCTGGTGTCTTGATGGTTAAGGCACCTGGATCCCACATGGACAACTGCAAGGTTCAAGTCCCAGACCCAGCAGCTTGCAGAACATGCTGAGCACATACATGTGTACCCAAAATCCCCAAAGGAGGTAGAGATGGTGGAGAAGGGATTGCAGCATGACCATTCCCCATGGGGGATGCTTGTCCACTTTCCCTCGCTCTCTCTGTCTCTCCAACAAGCATATGAGCCCTCTGGCAAATTTTTTTTTTAAAAGACAGAGACAGGGTAGCAATCTCAACAAGGTCTCACACCATGATCCCCGCACCCCAGCCTTTCCCAGCCTGCCTGGGTCATGGGTATGTGCATGTGTTTTTATAGGCTGACCTGGGACCAAACCCTGATCTTTTATTATTTTTTTTTAAGAGAGTCCTTTGCTATAGGGCATGTGTGCTCGTCAAAAAGACAGTGACAGAGAGCAAGAAATCACCCCCCCCCAGGGGGGATGGCCATGCCGCAATCCCTTCTCCTCTAGGGATATTAGGTATGCATGCACATGCGCCTGACATGAGTTTAAGCCACTGGGTTTGGGACTTGAACTGAGGTCGACTACATGGGAGTCCAGCGATGCAGCCATTACACCAACTGCTGGTCCCTAAACCCCGATCTCGATATGGCTTCCAGCATTAGAGGTGCATACCACTGTACCTCTGTGGCTGGCCCCGGGCGACTTGTCAGACGCAGATTGCTTAGAACAGCACCTGCAGCTCGGTCAGTTCTGTAGGCCTCATCGCTGAGAGGCCGGGGTGGCAAAGGCAGGGGATGGGAGCGGCTGGAGAGAAGGCGATGGGATGCGCATGTGCTGGGCTAATTTAAGGTGACTTGGACTCACATTGTAGTGTCTTGCCTTTCTTTATTTTTGCCATCGTAGTTTCATGGATGTATTAAGTTTCTATTACCAGAGGTTACATGTGCTCACCGGAGACACACACACACACACACAGAAAGCACCCAGTGCAGCACCGCCATGCCACAACCCCCTTTCCTCCTTTGCTCCATCCTGTCGTGATTTGGGGCACACACACACACACACACACACACACTCAGCATTTTGAAGCCACAGAGCCGGGATTTAAACTATAGTCAGCCATGTGAGACCCGGGACTTAGCCAGTATTCTATGGGCATTGTAGTTTTAAAACAATGATAATAATGATCATTTCTTTTCTTTTCTTTTAAATTTTTAAAGGTTTTTTTGTTATAAGGCACGTGCGCTCGCCAGAGAGACAGAGAGAGACAGAGAGACAGAAAGCAAGAAATCACCACCCGGGGGGGATGGCTTTGCTGCAATCCCTTCTCCTCCATTCTCCTCTCAGGATCTTGGGCACACATGCACATGCGCCTGGTGTGAGTTTAAGTCACCGGGTCCGGAACTCGAACCGCGGTCGACTACATGGGAACTCAGCGACATAGCCATTACGCTAACTGCTGGTCCCAATAATGATCATTTATTGAGGGCCTGCTAGATGCTGTGTTTAGTAGCACTTTCATCACCACAACGATCCCATAGGGGTGGATTTTACAGCTAAGGAAACGGACTCTGAGAGGGGAAGCCATTTTCCCAGGGTCACACAGCTACAGATCTGATCATCAGAACTTGTTTATCAAGCGATTGATACACTTGCACCAGCATTGGCTTCTGTTTCCACGATTTCCCTCAATTCCATGGTGACCCTGTGTGGGCTGTTCTCCCCGCTGGGTAGGGGATGAGAGTTAGGCTCGGACAGTCCCGTCATATGCTTAAGGCCACACTGGAGTCGGAAGCAAGGCTTGCCTGACTTCATAGTTCACGCTGTGACAACAGCTTACACTTACACAGCTCGCGCATGCGCTGGGCTCTCCCGCCTTCTTACTGACAAATAACACTTGGACGCGGCCAGCCCATGGCACAGGGGTTAAGGGAGCTGGAGCCCACGCAGCTGGTCATGGCTCAGGTACCAGCCCCTGCAGCTTTAACCCTGGGTCTGTGTGCCCAGCAGGATAGAGGAGAGGGAGACGGGTGGCGGTGTGACAATATCTCCATTGTGAGATATCTCCATTGTGTTTTCTCTCTCTCTTTCTCCCTGGCGAGTGCACATACCTTCTGACAATTAAAAAAAAAAAAAGTCTAATAGTACAAAGTAACTTTTCAGAACAAGAATAAAATATATAATAATCAAATCAGGGTGATCTCAATCTCAGGCTCCCTCCCAAGCCCTTTCCAAATATCCTGTCATCTAATTCCCATAACATCCATGATGTCAGTACAATTCCTATCACTCCCACTTTTATTATTTACTTATTTATCTATTTCAATTTGACCAGAGAGAGAGAAAGAGAGAGAGAGAGAGAGAGGGCAAGTGAGAAAGCAAGCCACCAAGTCCGGGATTTGAACCATGGTCGGCCATGTGGAAGTCAAGCGCCTTTAACCACCATACCACCTGCTGGCCCCAACCTCCACTTTTCAGATGAGAAAAATGAGACTCAGAGGAATCTAGTAACTTGTGCAGAGTCACACAGCCCACCAGAGGCAGAGATGGGATTTGAACCCAGGCCCTTGACCCCGGAGTCCAGGCTTCTAGCCCTCACCCTCGTCCCTGTTTTGGTCTTACAGGATGGGAAGATTGTGGATGACGTCTGGGTGGTGAGACCCCTGCACGGCCGGATGATGTACCTTTAAGGATGGAACAGCCCTCGTCAAGAACCCTAAGCCTTGCTGCCTTGGCGGGTGTGACTAGACACTGCTCAGCCAGGGAGTGGGGGTGGGCCCGACTCCCCTGCCCTCCAGAGGTCCCACGCTGGGTGGACACAGCCCTGATAAACTGGGGCAGCTCTTCCCTCCTGGAGAGGGAGAGTCCTGGCTGACTGTGAAGAGAACCACATAGCGAAACAGGGTGGGTCTCTGGCTGGCACAGCCCCACCCTCCCGCATAGCACTGACCGGGCAAAGCGCCCACGGGGCCTCGGAATAAAGAGGTTCCAGCTGTGGCACGGTGGTCTCCGTGCTTCTGCTGGGGATGCCCAGGCTGCCTCTTCTCCTGCCCACCTGCCAAGGGGCTCGCCAGCCCAAGTCCTCGGGGAGCACACGACCGTCATGACACCACTGGCCAGCAGGTGGCGTTGGTGGCTTTTCCTTCTGATCTTGGCCTTCTGCTTCAGTGGCCCAAGGAGTGCTACCCAGTGTCCCTGTGTCTCAGTTTCCCAGCCTGGAAAAGGCGAAATACCACCCCCCACCCCCCCGCCTCCGAGCAGGGGGCAGCTGACACGTCTTGAGAGCCCCCAGACCCGATAGTTTCTCCCCTCTTTCCTTTCTCCCCTTTCCTCTCTTTTTCTTCCTGCTTTCATTTCTTTGAACATTATTTATTGAGTGTCTGCCTTGTGTCAGGCCCTGGTCTCAGTACTAGGAACACAGCTGTGAACAAGACAGAGGTCTCTGTCCTCAGGGAGCTGACTCTCACCATAAAGTTGGGAATTAAACAGTTGCCCGAGAGGTGCCATTGTGGTCAGGGTCTGAAAAGGTAGGGTGCTGGGAGAGTGGGGGCAGTTAGTTGTCTCTGCAGGGACACCTCACTGAGAGGGTGACATTTCTCTGGAGGTGGTGAGGGGAGCCAGTTGGGTGGTTGTCTGGGGCAAAGAGTGTCAGGCGGAGGAACAGCCCCAGCAAAGGCCCGCAGACAGAAGCATGCCTGCCCTGCTGGGTATCAGCGAGGAGGCTGAGCCAGCCGGAGCAGAGGGTGAGGGGGCCACTGGGGCTGAGGGCGGGTTGTGTGGGGCCTTGAGAGCCACATTAGAGACATTTGATGCAGCCTCAGGAGGGGAGGACGCCATCTGACTTGAAGAGTCCCAGGCAAAGGCTGGGCTCTGGCGTCACGGTGAAGGGCTCCCAGGAACCCCGCGGGTGCCCAGCCCTGCAGGCGGGCCTCGTGTCTATTCCTTCATAGCCTCCGCCGACCCTATCCCCACCCAGCGCATGGCGCTCCGACCTCCTTACAGCATCTGGCGCGTGTTCTCACATGGGACCCAGGCCCCAGCTGTCAACCCTCCTCAAGTGCTGTCTCCCAGCCCAGCCCAGGGTGGCAACTTCTCAACCTCAGCCCTTGAGGCCTTGATCCCCCCTCAGATGCCTTCCGCTGACGGCCCCCACTCAGACAGTCTCAGCTGCCCTCTGCCCTGTCCCTGTTCCGCTGCATTCTCCTATCCTCTCATGGATTTAGCTTGTTGGCGGTCTGTCTTCCCCCTGGGCTAGAGGGTCTGTGACAGTGGTGGCCAGGGTTACTTTGTTCACTCATCAGTCCATCCCTGCCACCAAACGCCCCTCGATCATTTCTCAAGCTGGGTTGGGGGCCTTGGGCTCCCCCATCCCACTCCTGCCTGCTCTGGGCCGACACTGTCTAGGGATGGGTCTCTCTGGCTCCTACACTGGACTGTCAATCTCAGGAGGGCAGGGCCCAGGGCTGCACGCCAGCATTGCCCAGCACGAGGCAGATCCTTAAAGAATTATCATAGCCTTAATGAAGCTGCCACATGCCAGCTCCGGCCAGGCAATGCCGGGGCCAGCAGTGACTCAGCCGAAATGCCCTCTGGGAGCTTGCAGGCAGGCAGAGAAACTTGGTTACCCAACGCAAGTGACAAACAATGAGGGAATGCCGTGGGGGGGTGGCCCAAGGTGGGGAAGGCACAAGTGGCAGAGTCACTGCATGCTGCAGCCAGAGACCGTCCTGGCTCAGTACAGTGTGGGCCCCAGCATCCTGGCCTGGGCTGGGTGGGGCTGTAGACGTGCCCTGGAGGTGGGGTCCACACAGGGCAAAGGCCCAGCACTGGAGCCAGACAGAAACCGTGCTCAAATCTCAGCCCTGCCACTTCCTATGTGACTATGGGCAAGTCACCGGCCCTCTCTGAGCCTCTGTTTCTTCATCTGTAACATAAGAATAGTGCTTGGTTGGGGCCAAGCAGGTGACATGGCGGCTGGGGCGCTGGACTCCCACATAGCCAACCATAGTTCAAGCCCCAGACCTAGTAGCTAGTTTTCTCATTTTCCTTCTGTCTCTCTCTACTGAGCGCATGTGCCCTATAGCAAATTAATAATAATAATAATAATAATAATAATAATAATAATGGGGCCAGCAGGTGGTATGTGGTTAAGGTGCTGGACTCCCACATGGCCAACCACGGTATAAGTCCCAGATCTGGCAGTTTGCTTTCTCTCTCTGTCTCTGTCTGATGAGCACACGTGCCCTGTAACAAATTTCACAATAATAATGATAAATAAAATTAAATAATTATTTTAAAAAATAATAATGGGGCCAGCAGATGGTATAGTGGTCACATTGCTGGACTCCCACATGGCTGACCACGGTTCAAGTCCCAGACACAGTGGCTTGAAGACCATGCCAAGCACGTGTTCGATGCCTAAAAATCCCAGGAGGAGAATGGAGAAGAAGGGATTGTAGCATGGCCATCTCTCCCAGGGGGGTGATTTCTCACTTTCCCTCTCACCATCTCTGTCTCTCTCTCTCTCTAGCAAATGCATGTGCCCTATGGCAAAAACCTCTAAAATAATCATAAATAAAAAACAAAAAAATTCTAAAAATGAATAGTACTTGATGGGGTTGCCTAGAGATTAAGTGAGATTGAAAACTTTGGTCTCATTCTTTCCTTTCTTTTTCTTCTCGTGCCCCACATCCAACCAGCTCCCCGAATCCGTTGGCTTTGTTTTCCAGCCCTACTAGAGGCAGCTGGTGGAGATGCAGTGGTAGGGTGCGCCGCTCTGGGGCTGACTGACCTGGGAGGGTTCTAGGTTTGTACCCAGAGGCCTCCCTGAGTACGCTGAGCACATGCACGCCCATGGCCTGGGCTGGCCATGGCTGGGGGCACATTGTGGTGTCAGTACTCTGTAGGGGGCGCTCTATCTCTGCCTCTGTCTTCCTCAAGGAATAAATGAAGACTTAAAAAAAAATGTCCACAATCTCTTCATTTCTCAGCCAGCAGGTGGTGGGGAGGTTAGCGTGGCTGGACCCTCCAAGGCCACCTTTGTGGTTCAAAACTTGAAAATCACACTGGGTACATGTGCATGTGTGCCCAAATTCTCCAGAGGAGAATGGAGGAGAAGGGTTTGTGGGAAGCCATTCCTCCAGGGGGTGATTTCTCACTTTCCTTCTTTCTGTCTCTCTCTCTGGTGAGCACAGGTACCCTAGAGGAAAAACAAACAAATAAAAAAAGGATCTCTGCACTTCTGCACCTCCAAAGCCTCCACCCAGGTCCTGTCCACACTCATTTCCCACCCACTCCTTGGGCTCCCTGTCCCCACAGACAGCCAAAGGGACTTGGTAACTCCTGCATCAGGGTCACGTCCTTGCCCTGCTCAAAGCCCTCCCATGGTTCATCTCAGGGTAAAAGCCAGAATCTTCCCTGTGGCCCACCAGGCCCCCACGACCTGCCCCGCCACCTGCCTGCCCTCAGCCCCCCACGTGCCCCCTCGCCCGCTCTGCTATAACAATGCTGGCCTGCTCTTTAGGTTACTCCCCCACCTTTGCCCTGGCTGTTCTTTCTGCCTGGGACCCTGTTCCTCCACGGCCCCCCACTCCTCCTTCAGGACTGAACTCAGTGTCGCTTTCTCAGAGAGGCTTCCTGGACCAACTTGTTTAAAACAGCCACCTCCCACTCCAGACACACACACACACACACACACACACACACTGCCAATGCCCCTCCTCGCTTTTTTCAGAACTCTTAGCTCTCGTGACCTGCCGTGCAGAGACATGCTTGCTAACTTACTCTCTGTCTCCTCCATCACGCCGTGAGCTCTGCAGGTGCAGGGGTTTTTGCCGGTTCTGTTCCCCCCCGTTGCCCGGTCCCTGGTTCATCACAGTAGGTGCTCAAGAGACATCAGCTGAATGGAAGAAGGAAGGAAGGAGGAATGCAGGTAAAATGTTCAGCACAGCCCTCCATGCTGAGGGAGCGCATGCCAAACACCAGGAATGGCAGCGATCCTGGTGACTCAGATAAAGCTTAGGCCCGGGAGCTTCCACTGCTGGGCATGCAGGAGGCAGGCACGTGTGGCTGATTGCGACAGCCGTCCTGTGTGATGTGCACAGAAGTCAGATTTTAGGGCCTGAGCCCCAGTGGCCTCTGGGGGGCGAAGCTGAGCAAGGCTTTTGGAGGCTGCCGAGACGCCTTCCTAGCAGGCGGGCTCCAGAAAGTGCAGTAGGGCCAAGGCGAGACTGTATGGGCAGGCAGACTCAGGAAGGAGGAAGCCTCTGGGTCTCTGGAGTCACTCATTAACACATCTTTTAAAAATGTTTTTATATTTTTAATTGAGACATAATTTATATGACCTACAATGTACAAAGCCTAAGGGTACACCGTGAATATTTTTCTTTTGCTATAGAACACTTGAGCTCACCAGAGAGGGGGAAAGTGAGAAATCATCCCCCCCCAGGGGGGATGACCATGACCCAATCCCTTCTCCTCCATTTTACTCTTGGGATTATGGGTATGCATGCACATGGGCCCAGCGTGATTTTCAAGCTTCCGGGTCCAGGACTCGAATTGTGCATTTGGCTATGTGGGATCTGGCACTTGAACCTCCATGCCATCTGCTGGTCCTGAAGAGTCTTCTTCTTCTTTTTTTTTTTTGTTTTTTTAGAGAGTTTTACTTTAGGGCATGTGCACTTGCTAGAGAGACAAAGAGACAGAAAGCAAGAAACCACCCCCCAAGGGGGATGGCCATGCCACAATCCCTTCTCCTCCACTCTCATCTTGGGATTTGGGTCACACATGAACACACACCCAACGTGTCTTAAGCCACTGGGTCCAGGACTCGAACCTGGAGTCCAGCGACGTAAACCTTACATCATCTGCTGGTCCCCGAAGGAGACTTTTTTAAAAAGTTTATCCATTTCATGAGCAGGCAAGACAGAGAGACAGAGAGACAGAGAGACAGCACCCCAGCTGAGCCCCGGATGTCATGATTTTCCTCCAGCTCCAGCCAGCCAGGACGCCGGGTGTGCGTGCCCATGCCTGGTGTACCAAGGAGTCTCCAAATGCCATCCTAGAACCTACCCCGGCACAGCTTGGCCTCACAGAGCATTTCACCTCATTGCCGCATTCCATCCGGCCCCCATTAACAAATGCACTTTTCAAAAAGCCATTTTAACTTTATTTATTTCAATTTGACCAGTGAGAGATGAGAGAGAGAGAGAGAGAGAAAGAGAGAGAGAGAGAGAAAGCAAGCCGGTCCCGGGCCCTAACCCGCTGCTGGCCACGTGTGAGTCCAGCACCTCAACCACCACAATACCTGCCGCCCCTAACAGACGTGCTTTAATGAACTCCTTTGCTGCTCAAGTCAGCCAGAAGTGGTTTCTGGTGATGGTAACTGAAAACTGGGAAAGAATCATGCACCTGCTATCATCTAGCCCTGGAGATGCCGCGGTACCCAGACGAAACCTCTGTCCTCGTGGAGCTGAAATTCTCCTGGGGCAGGTAGAGAAGAAGCCATGAAAACAGAAACACAATCACAGGAGAATTCCAGATGGTGATCTGCTCCGGGAGGAAAATACACTGGAATTAAAGTCTGGGTTAGAACATACTTTAGATGTGGCGTCCAGGAAAGGCCTCTCGGAGGAGGTGACATTGAAGCCAAAACACAAGGAGTTGGTCAAAGCAAAGACCTGGGAGATGAGGCTGAGGGACCAGCAGGTACAAAGGCCCTGAGGCAGGATCGAGTTTACATGTTTGAGAAACAACCATGAGGCCAGGGTGGCTGATGGAGGGTGAGTAGGGGTACTGGATAAAATAGAGGCTGACCGGGACCAACAGTTAGCTTAATGGCTATGTCGTTGGACTCCCACATAGTCGACTGTGGTTCGAGTCCTGGATCCGGTGGCTTAAAACTCATGCCGGGCGCGTGTGCGTGTGTGCCCAAGATCCCAAGAGGGGCATGGAGGAGAAGGGATTGCAGCGTGGCCATATCCCTGGGGGGTGATTTCTCGCTTTCTGTCTCTGTCTCTCTCTGTCTGTCTGGCGAGCGCACGCGCCCTATGGCAAAAATCGCTCCAAAAAAAAAAAAAAAAAAATAGAGGCTGACCGGTTAAATGTGAGTTTCAGATAAACAACAATTTTGTTTTGGTATAAATATGTCCTAAATGGTGCATGGAATGTACTTATACTGAAAATTGATTCAAGATTTGTCTAATCAATTTTTGTTGGAGAGTTTTTGCTATAGGGGTCTTACACTCTCTTGAGAGACAGAGAGAAAGTGAGAAATCACCACCCCCCCCGGGGGGGGCGGATGGCCATGCCACAATCCCTTCTCCTCCATTCTCCTCTTGGGATCTTGGGCACGCATGCACACACCCTGGGGGGTGAATTTTAAGCCGTCAGGTTCAGGACTCAAACCGTGGTCAACTATGTGGGACTCCCACAATGTAACCATTACACCATATGCTGATCCCATCATTTTTTTTTTTTGAGAGGTTTTTGCTATAGGGCATGTGCACTCGCCAGAAAGAGAGAGACAGAGAGATAGAAAGTGAGAAATCACCCCCTGGGGGGGTCTGGCCACGCAGCAATCCCTTCTCCTTTCTCCTCTTGGGATCTTGGGCATGCATGCACACACACCCAGCAAGAGTTTAAGCCACTGGGTCTGGGACTCAAACTGTGGTTGACTATATGAAAGTCCAGCGACATAGCCATTACACTAACTGCTGGTCCCCCATAATTTTTTTTTTTAAGAGAGAATTTTGCCACGGGGCACGTTCGCTCAACGGAGAGACAGAAAGTAGGAATCACTCCCCGCTCCCCCAGGGGTATGGCTTCTATGCAATCCCTTCTCCTCCATTCTCCTCTTGGGGATTTTGGGCATACACATAATGCACCCTGCGTGAGTTTTAAGCTACTGGATTCAGGATTCAAACTGCGGTCAACTATGTGGGAGTCCAGCGATGTAATCATTATGCCATTTGCTCATCCCAGAGTAATCCATTTTAACCAGGCATCTTGTGTTT